TTAAGTTCTGACGAACTTGTCTCCCTCATTGGGGTCTTGTTACACACATACATTCACACGCATACATGCAAGCACACACACATACTTACCCTCCCAACTCCCCCCCCACACACCCGCACCACTCACATATACGTGAACACACGTCCACACACACTGACACCCTCTCCCACTCACCCGCACACTCACATACATCCACACACTCACACACACACTCACATGCACACCCAGTGTTCTTCAGGGGCTGGTGCAATTGGACAGAATGTTGGCAACTCCTTGTGAAACCTCCTCATTCTTTCTCCTGCAGTCCATCTCCCATATCTATGGCTTTTCTGGATTCAAGCACCTCCCTGACCTCTGGCCCTAGCGTGAGCCCTGTGTCCTTCCCCCACCCATACACAGCACTGTGACTTACATGTGTCTTTATGAGTGTGTCTAAGGTCCCCGTGACCAAACCCAGGTTGATGATCCAGCAGGAGGACTCACAGGACTCAGCATACAGCTGTGCTCATGGCTGTGACTTGGTACAGCAGAAGGACACAAAGCAAAATTGGCAAAGAGAAAAGGAGCATGGAGTGAAGTCAAGAGCAAGGTGGGCAGGGCTCCCGGGGTCCTCTTGCAGTGCAGGCACACAGAAATGGGGTGCGGACGTGGCTGACGGCACACCACATGTACCATGTGTGCCCGTGCCACCAGCACAGTCATAATGGCAACCGGAGAGAGTATTTCCAAGGGAGGAGTGTAAACACACAAGCAAGACTCCCAAATTTGCCTGAGAGGACTGAGAGATCAGGCCATGGGGAGGGCGGTGGGTGAAGGGAAAGAGCTAAAGGTGGTGAAATCCCCACACAAAACAGAAGGGGCAGAAGCATCCAGTTGTGTGAGTCCAGTGTCACTGAGGGCTGGCTGGGTGCCCCCAGCATCTCATTTGATCATCGTGACAGCCCTATGAAATGGCAACCTTTTACCTCTAATTTATTGGCAGGGGGCCTCCACAGGTAACCTCTGTCCAGATTCTAACATTCTAGCTCAGCTGGGTCTACTGGTTGAATTTTTAGAAATGGAATCATATGGTACATATTCTTTCATTTCTAGCTTCTTTCACTCAACATGTCTGTGCTGTATAGTTCACTTTCATGGTGTGGAATTCCATTGTGTAAGTACACCACAATTCATCCACTGTACTGATGATTCGCTTTTGGGTACTTTTCAGCTTTTAAGACTAATAGCTGTTCACGATAAACATGCATATACATTTCTAATGGTGGGCCTGTCTCTGCTGGGTCTATGCCTAAGAGAGGAAGGAATTGGTTTATAGTTGTACATATACGAGCATGTTCAGTTGTTAGCTACTTTTGCTCAAGACTTTTTTTTTTTTTTTGTCTTTTTCCGTGTCCGGCAACGGATCGCAACCCTCCGTGTCGTGCCCGCACCGGACCGGGACCGGCAACGGGATCGCAACCCTTGGTGCTGCTCCCGTGCCTCGCTCAGCCAGTGAGCGGGAACCGGTCTGCATGTGGGATCCGAACCCTCGGCGGAAGCGCCGCCGCGCTTCCCAAGCAGCGCACTAACAGCAGTGCGCCACCGGGCCAGCCCAGCTCAAGACTTTTTAACATTTTAAAATTTTTTACCTAGTTTGCTTTTCTAATGTTACTTATTGATTTAAACCTTGTTCAATCTCTAAATTCTTACTTTTTTATGTCTTTTACGTCTATGATCTGAGATTGTTCTGTTTCTGTCTTTATTTTACGTAATCTCATACTGACACTCTATTCTTTCGTTAGTGTTTTACCAAACTTCATGTCATTGCTTTGAATTTCTAAAAGTGAGCTTTCCCTGCCCCACCTGCTCACCTTGCTTTTATAATTGGCACATGGGAAGAGTGGGCAGAAGCTGGCATCTGTGATGGGAGTGGGCACCCAGGCCCTGAGTGATACAGAGGGGCAGTGCGACAGAGATCTCTGTCAATGGAGTGTGGAGGATACTGACATCAATAAAACACATGCATTTCACAGGGCCTTACTATTAACATAGTAGTACCAAAGTCCTTAGTTCAGTAGGACCAAAGTCCTTAGAATAGGCTATAACGGAGTAGGGCCACAGTCTTTAGTTTTAGCAGGACCAAAGTCCTGTAGCTTAAGGAATAGCCCAACTTTTTAGTAAAACACATAGAAATGCTAAGATCAGAAAAAAACAGAAAACTTTCACAGGACTAAAGTCTTTGATGTAGATAAAAAAATTGAAACACAGCAAAAGTGATTGCTCTGAGGGGCAGTTGCCCTTGGTGCAGCTAAACCTAAATGATGGGAAAGTATGTGAGCTAAAAGCTTCAAGGTTACTGTGCTAGTTAATGGTTGGGAGATGTTCCACATTTTACCTTTAGCTGTTTAAGTCTCTTGGGGAACTAACTATGTGTTGCCATAGTGATTATCTCATTGTTTTTTTTTTTTTTTTGTATGTCACATAGTTTAGCTTTATGACTCCTTTTGATGGCAAATTGCTTGAACTATTTTTAAGTTACACCTGCTTTAATGAAAATTGTCATGTAGCCAGTTTGTTTATGTTTTCACTATGACTGATTAACCACCTGCATTTCTTCTGTAACTTTCTTGCCTGTAAAATAAAAACTGAGAGACAACCTGACTTGGGGTTATTCCTAGGGCTCTCCTCCCTTGAAGGAGTTTTCCCTGGGTTTAACCCCTTCAGCCCTCTCACTGCTCTGGATACATGGGCTCTGAGTAATAATCCCTTGCATCTCTGTCACCCTGAGAGAGGTGATGACAATGGAGTAGTTTGGTATCTTGATTGTGGTGGTGGTTACACGAATCTACACATGTGACAAAATGACATACATGTACACTGTACCGATGTTGATTTCCTGGTTGTGGTATTTTTAAATAATTACTTAAGTCATAACCATTAACGGAAACTATGAAGGGAACAGGGGACTTCTCTGAACAATCTTTATAATTTCCTGTGAATGGAAAATTACTTTTTTAAAAAAGTAAAAAACAAAAATAACACAAAACAAAAACCACCTAAGCCATTGGCTGAGAAGTCCAAGAGATTAATGGGCACAAATGCTCTGCCTTCTGTTTATTTTCCCTAAAGATAACAACCCCTGCCTCAGGGAAAAAAATAGCCCAAATGCCGGAAGAGTGTGGAATGCTGATTAATATTAAATTACCACCGTGATGCTGCCAGTATTCCTAACAGTTAACATTTACTTGAAAATGGGCTTTGTGTTAGGCTCTGTGTTAAGCAATTTATATGCACCATCATCAGTCTTTACAACTATCTCTCGAAGTACACTGTTATTCTTCATTAAAGATGAGGAAATTACAGGTTATCATTACCCAAGATAGTTGGTTGAGAGATACCCCACCTGGACCTCACCTGAAACAGGATCCTGAGCAATCCAGAACTTTGGCAGGGTGAGTAGAAGCCAAAAGCAATTGCCCTTTCAAAGCTCCCAGCTGTCTCCAAGTGGCAGAAGTGTGGCACGGCTACTACCCCTCTCAGTCCCCAACTCACACATGTGAGGAATAACCTGTCCTTGCTGTGCCTGGGTCCTCTCAGGTCTTACCTTTCTGTACATGCCAGCTCAACTTCCAAATGTCACATCTAAGGGCCGGCCCGGTGGCTCACTCGGGAGAGTGCGGTGCTGATAACACCAAGGCCCCGGGTTCGGATCCCATACAGGGATGGCTGGTTCGCTCACTGGCTGGGCGTGGTGCTGACAAATGTCACATCTATGTCCCCTTATCTGGGGGCTCTCTCTGCTGGAGCCACCCCCATGCCAGAGATTCTAGGGAATTAATGCCCCCTAGGAGCCACCCTTAACCAGTACTGACTGGAATGGAATTACTGGATAAATACACCAACTCTCTGTCCTGTCAGATAGATGAATGCACTGTGTGTGTTTTCTATAGTGTCTCTTGAGTTTTCCAGTGATATTAAACCCCAGGGCTTTGCCTGAGCTCTTGGGTACAAGCTCATCCTCTCCCCTGCTGGATGTGAATGAGGACAAAGTGACCCAGAGAGCTGCTGGCAGCCCTCCTGAGACCACATGGAGGAAGAAGAGTGGGATGAGCCTGGTGACATTGTTTGCAATCCTGAGTCAAGCTGTTGGGTAGGGGATGCTTACTCCCCACTGCCAATGTGCCTTCCAGGGAGAGGAAGCCCCTTGCAGCCTCGCTGGCTGTTCCCTGCCCTCAGCCATTCCTCTCCTGCTGGAATGAATCTGACTGGTCTACTTGGGAAGCATGACCTGGGCATTGTTGCCCAGTTCTTCCTTTTTCCACAGGAGTCACATATTTTCCTTTGCTTCTCCAGGACAGGAACCTGCTCATGGACAGACCTGCTCTGGCCCAGTGCTGCTGGTGTGTTGGGGAGGAGGTCTAACCCTGGATCTTGGAATTAGAAAGTGCACTTGCCTACAAAAACAGGGCGAGTCTCAAACTCAGTCCTTACCAATCCTTACAAGGTCCTTATACTTCTTAATTTTTTGTGCTCTTTTCTTCCTCTTCATTTCACACTTTAGGCAAGAGGAAGGGGATACTCTTCATTGGGCCCCCAGAGATGCCATCACAGGCCATACTTGCAAATATCTCCTGCCTGTTCTGTTGAGTTACTCTGAGCCTCTTCCCTCCTCCTTAGTCTCCATCTCCTCATCTTCATCTTATTTTAAAATCTACAGATCTGCTTGATACGAGGATGGGATGGAAGTCCTGCTGTCATGCAGGTGTAGGCTATAAGGCCAGGAATTATTCATGTCACCTCATTTGGACCATAAATCTGCTATGGCCCAGAAGACCTTCAGATTATTTCATTATGAGCTGAAGAATTTGGAGACAAAGAAGAAAAAGAAAGTGTGGAATCACAAACATTAAGATCATGAAGAAGAAAGGTTGATGGGCTTTTATTGTCTGTAGTGAGGACTGACTGCTGCTCCTTGCAGGGTGCTCTCAGACACAGTGACCACAGTGGGCGCTCCAGGACACTTAGTTGTTGCTGCAGTTTTTGTTCAGAATTTTGTACCTTTCAAACCAGGGTACAGAAAATACTGAGAAGTAGCACTTGATTTGATAAAACAGGAAACCAAAAACAATGTCTAAAAAAAACCTAACATGCAAGACGTGATGTTAAAGGGAGAAAGAAGACAACATGAAACATGAGGATGGGGAAGGTGACACCCCCCACCACACTCCAATCCAGATATGGTGTGATGTTTACTTTGGTTTCAGTCACTAGACAGTAATACTGCTGGGATCATTCCAGAAAATGTCCTTCTGTCTGTGGTCAGATTTGATGGATGGGCAGAAATTGTGTCTGCCCAGCCCATATTCACCATGGGAACTACTGATTCATTTTTTCTCTCTTCATTTTTACTCATGTGGTTTTACTTCACACCTTCCTTTACTTGGTCTCTGATGGATCTATCCATTGATTCTTCCATCCATCCATTTGCCTATCCATCCATCCATCCGTCTATCCATCCATCCATCCATCCATCCATCCATCCATCCATCCATCCATCCATCTCCATCCATCCATCCATCCATCCATCCATCCATCCATCCATCCATCCATCCATCCATCCATCCATCCATCCACTCTTTCATTCTTCCATCCATCCGTCCATCCATTTATCCACCTATCCATCCATCCATCTATCCATCCATCCATCCATCCATCCATCCATCCATCCATCCACATCCATCCATCCATCCATCCATCCATCCATCCATCCATCCATCCATCCATCCATCCATCCATCCATCCATCCATCCATTTATCCACCTATCCATCTATCCATCCATCCATCCATCCACCTATCCATCCATCCATCCATCCATCCATCCATCCATCCATCAACATCCATCCATCCATCCATCCATCCATCCATCCATCCATCCATCCATCCATCCATCCATCCATCCATCCATCCATTCATTTTTCCTTCCATTCTGCCATTCATCCAATCCAGCCTTCCTTCCAACTATCCATTTATCCTTTCATTCGCTTTCCCATCCACCCACCCATCTCCATTGATCCATCCATTTATCCTTCCACCAGTCCATCTGGCTTTGCTTCCTACCCTCCGTCATTTGTTCAGCTGTCCACCTATCCATTGCATTAGCTCTCTCCTTCCTTCCTCCCTATTCTCTCCCAAATTTCCCTTTTCTTTTTTTCTTCCTTCTTCTCCATAATAAAAAGTCAATACTTGAAACATATTTTGCATATTATTGATTATCATTTCTTAGTATGATTTTGTTTTTCTGCTCTTCATTTGAAAGCCTGGAGTTGGGGGTGGGAGGCTTAAGCAGTTACATTTCTCTTAAAGTAAAATTCAGGGTGTCAACTCCACCAATCCAATTTCCCCAGTCAAAAAGTTCCTTTAATTTTACCTTACTGTTATCTTCAATTATTCTTTTCATAGATGTCATGACCTTCCCCAGGGAAGAATCAGAGATTTTGAAGAATTACCCATATAGAAAGTGAGAAGAGAGCCCATGGATGGACACAATTCTGTGTCGTGAACACCCAGGGTGACCATATAATTTATGAACTGAAGCAGAATGCGTTATATGCAAAAGGGGATGCTATTAGTGACTACACTAAGAAGTTAGGAATGAATCAAAATGATTCCAGGCAAGGTAGGACATACAGTCATCCTAGTTTTAATCTGTTTGTGTGAAGTAAAGAGATTTGCAGGGTTTGTAGGACTTGTGACCTTCAAGGACCCTTCGCACATGGGACCACCCTATGCACATTAGGGTGGTTATGGTGCTGGCCAGGGTCTGCCCAGCCTCCCCCAGCCAGGAGAGCCCTGGGTGGGAGTGTAGCATGTAGGGGCTGAGCTGCCTTTGGGGAGGTGGCTCCTCAGCAGGCCACACACACACAAGTCAGTCCCCAGCCTGCCCCCCCCCACCAGATTGTTTCTGAACTCCTTTTCTCATCTCCTCCTCCCCGTTACCAAGCACCACTGCGTGACAGGAACAGAGGCCGGAGCCCAGTGACTGTGCATTCTCGTGCTGACATTCAGACATTCAGCCCGCACCCCAGCCATGTCCCGCTGGCTGCTGCATGTGATCTGTTACTGGCCACTTCCCTCGCTCAGTCTCCCTGCATGAGGGAACTCAGCCACCTCAGCTCCTCCTCATCCTTCCAGCAACAAAAGAGCAAGGCATCGGCCACTCTCACCTTCACTTTTCCTCTCCAAGGTGGGAGGTATTATCCACACATTCTCTTCAAGTGAGTTTGAATAAATCCCAAATAAGTCTACCCCACCTCATCCTAAAATCCCAGAAAAAACCCATTAAGCTAATGTGCTTTTTACTCAGTACTTTGTAAAGCTCTCCTTTCTGTAAGACACTTTCCTTCATCTCCAGCTTTTTGCAGGTGGTCCACGGCAACTCCACGTCGATGTGATACTCCCAATGATCCGTTATCTGTGGGCAGCGAGTGGCAGGGAGCTGTAGAATGACCTCTGCTCCCTTCTCTGGAGCTTCTGTGCACAGGATCACCTTACACGGTGCCCGAGGACAAGGACCCAGTCCTGGACAGGTTGGTGGGCTCCCCTCTCCCCTATCTGACCCCATGCCTCTTATTGTCGTTCAAAGACACCACTAGAAATATGATCCACATGCAAACCCACTCCTTAGATAACACAAATGATGCTAACTGCTTGGGGTAGGGGTCTGTAAACTTTTTCTGCAAAGGGCTAGGGAGCAAACGTTTTGGGCTTGTGAGCCATATGGTCTCTGTTGCAATGACTCAACTCTGCCATCATAATATGCAAGCAGCCACAGACAATACATACCAGATGGTAGGACCTGGTTCCTATAACACTGCTTGCAAAAGTGGACAGCAGGTAGATTTGGCCATTGGGATGTAATTTGCTGATTCCTGATCTTAAGTGAACTAACTTCATCCACTCTAGTGAATTTATGCTTCTCTTAAAATGCCCACCTCAAACTAAGTAAGGCCAAATTTCCTGACAGTGGGGCCTTCCCCTGAGTGACAGTGGGACCTTCCCTTGAGTACCAGTGGTCCCCTGGCATAGGGGAATGGTGAGGAGAGAGGAGGGGAGCCACACTGACCTTCTTCTTGATTTTCAGGACTCAGAGGATCCTGAAGTTGTACTCGTCATCACTTTCCATATTACACTCATCAGTGACAAACCGCAAGGTGTCCGCCACGTACGTTTCCACTGCAGACACTTCCTGGACACGGATAAAGGTTTTCTTCCTTGTTTGGTAGGTAAAGGCCATCAGGGCCAGCAGGAGCCGTGGAGCCTTCCAGGGTCTGGCCATCATCCCTCAGCTGGGGAGGGATGCTAAGATCCCTCCCCTGGCCTCCCAGGGCCAGTTGGATCACACTGAGCCTACCTGCCCTGGCTGGGTCTCAGAGCAGCCCGTAGTGGACACCCGCAGCTCCCGTCCTCCCCCTCTACCCACAGCTGAACATGAGGGGACGGTGGGGGAGACTTCGCAGTGATTGGCAAGCTCACTCCCTCTTTCTTTTTCTTTTTGCATAAGATCGAGGCGCGCACACACACACACACACACACACACACACACACACACACACACACACATCTTCTCTTTGGGGCTGCACCCTCAGCACCACACAGTCTCCTGTGGACCCAGCATTATCTTGCTGGAAGCCAGGCCAGGGGGCCTCTGACCACTGAGCTGCTCCCCTGAGCACGGACCACAGAAGGTCTGGGGGACAGGAACTGATGAAGACACGGAGACTATTGGGTCCCAGGAAGTGGAGCATGAACAGGTGAGCTTGTGGAGGGACTGTCTGCACAGGAAGCCTCTGCCCCCTCACCTGGCTCCTGAAGGCCAGTCCTAGGCAATGGCCTTCCCCCAGAGCACAGAGGAGCTGGGGGACCAGGCAGAAAAGGGTGGAGTGAGAGAGCGTTACCTCTGAAGCTGATGACACCCGAGTGTCAGCAAATCCCAGAGTGAGCGCATCTTATTCATAGATGTTTTGGAGGAAGAGGAGGTGAAAAAGCAGAGCAAAGGCTGTGCACCTTCGAGCATGAGGCACAGAGAGTTTCTGGCTGGTGACTTTGGTCTCCTAAAGGTAAGACCCTACACAGACACTTATAGCCCCCCACATATCCGCACTCACACCAGAACACACAGACACACACCAACATGCCATACACAGAGTCATACGCCCACACCCCTGCACACACAAACACCCACACTCACACTGAAACTCACAGATTCACGACACCCTCAGACACCAGCTACCCTCACCTGCACCTTCGCATGGGACAGTTTCTTTGCATTCTTTCAAAACAACAAAAGCAGAGTCATCACCAAAAGGTCTTCCTAGGCCACACATCTCTGCTGACCTTAGAAGTCCCCTTCATGGGTGAGACCCTTTCCTACAGGAAGTATAAGGGATCTGACAGCTGTACCCTCAACCCCCACTCCCCACTCCCCATCGAAATCATTTTAGGAGAGACCCTCTGCCTTTATCCAGGTGAGAGAACTCACAAAGCAGGGGAGAGGAGTGGGAAGGAGAGGCGGGACCCCAGGAGCGAGCTACATTGACTTCAGGGGTCTCTCCTCAGAGCCCTGTGGAGGTGGATGGAGGGCACATTGTGGAAGGGCTCTGTCTTGGCCTCCTGTCTGTGTGTTTAGGGTGCTCTCAATTTTTCTGGGGGCACGATGGCAAAGTGGAAAAAAGCAAGAAGCTGGGCATCACTGGGCTTGCTGTAAGACTTGCTGTAAGGCCTGCTTGGCCACTGCACCCCCGGGGCACTGCCCAGCTGTAAGTGGGACAGCAGAGCTGTTCTCGGTGGGTTGCTCTGGTGATTGAGTAAAGGCCAGCAGCAGAGCCTGCTCATTCTCTTCTTCCTCGGTAAGAGAACTGCACTTTTTGTTTGGGTGTGGGACTACCTGCAACAAAGACTGCATTTCCCAGCCTTCCTTGAAGCTGGGAGTGGCCACGTGACCAAGATACAAGTGAAATTCTTGTTTCAGACATGTGGGAATTTACCCTGTAAAGAGTTGACTCAGCTAGGAGGAGTCATTTTTGCCTTTTCTGCTACTGGGAATGAGGACCTAGTGGCTGGAGCTCCAGCAGGTATGTTCAAACATGAAGTAACCTTGAGGATGGAAGCCAGCTCTGGGGATGGGAGAGAGAAAGATGGAAGAAGCCTGGTGCTTTGTGTCCTCATCATTTTTTGGACTCACAATGTCAGCCCTATGTTGCCGTCCAAAATTCTTTTATAGAAGAACATAAAGTCTTGTGTGTTTAAGCCACTATTTTTCATCTCTGATTTTCATGGCCACCCACTACTGCTAGTTGAAACAGAATCTGACACATAGTAAGTGCTCAGTACATGGTAGGATTATTATAAAATGGTCTGAGCAATCTGAAATTTTTTGTACTGTCTGCTTTAGAGAGTTCATGACATAGACATATGTGTTACGCCTCTCTTACTGAGATGTTGTAAGATGAAAAATAATATGTAAGCATCCAGCACTTGGCGGGGCAGGATGGGGTTCAGGGTTGGGGGCCTCGAAAAGAATCCCTCTTGTTAACACCCCTGGGGGTTGATCGTGGAGTGTCTCCCGTGTGTGCTGACTGCTGTGCAGATCTGGCAATGCTCCTTTCCATCCTCAGTGGGCAGCCCATCTGTTTTTTTCCTGATCACCTCAACCACACCTGACCAGCCCCCTCAGTTCCCAGGCCACAAGGCAAGAAGGCAGAATCAAAGAGGCCTGTCCAGGAGATGGAGGTGGCTGGTCCTCCACCTGGATGCACTCACAGGACTTCTCTTGGTCAGTCTCTTCCTGCCACCCACCTGCCTTCCTGGCCCTGCGGGGGCAGGTGGGTAGTGTGCAGAATGCCACATCCTCCCTGTCCTTTTGATCTTGTATTCCTTCCCTTATTCTGGAAGATGCAAGGACCCCCTATGAGAAAAGGGTGTAATGTAAAAATTTCATTTTAACATTCAGTAACATTTACCTAAAATGTTGCATATAACTTAAGCATGGTTATAGATCCCTGGATCCAATCCCTTGGCATGAACTCTTTATTAAGAACCCCTTTTCTACACTCTCAGCTACTAGCAATTTGGCCACATTTGATGCTTCTGTAGAAGTGACCCCCATATAGGGCCGGCCCGGTGGCGCACTGGATAAGTGCTCCGCTCGGGAAGCGCGGCGGCGCTCCCGTCCGAGGGTTCGGATCCCACATACAGACCGGTTCCCGCTCACTGGCTGAGCGAGGCGTGGGAGCAGCGCTGAGGGTTGCGATCCCCTTGCCGGTCCCCGGTCCAGTGCGGGGGCAACACTGAGGGTTGCGATCCGTTGCCGGACACGGAAAAAGACAAAAGACATAAAAAAAAAAAAAAAAAAAAAAAAAAAAAAGGGACCCCCAAATATTTTCATTCCAGGCCCCTATTTTTATGTTTGATCTATATTTTTAACTGG